AATCCGAGCATGAAACCCCAAACCATTTAGCACGTTAATTCTTTTTTGAAAAAGACAAAAACCACCTAAAGCGGACGTAAAAACTTCTTAGCAAAATTTGCTGTTTCCATTAACCTTTTCTAATGCGATACATTAAAATGCGCATAAAAAGGTTTATGGAAACACAACTTGTGTCAGACTTAAGCATGCTAGCATATGGCTGTTACCTGGAAGCAGTAGTATAGACATGGTATGAATCAAACTTCAAAAAGTATCCATACAAATGAATTGTTCTTTCAATTTTGACCAACACTGCTATCTACTGCAAAAACTAACTTCACTTCCACAACATTTTATTGTACTTAGATTTTTTTATTATTGAGTTCAGTAAAAGAAAAACAACATATCTTCTTTGGGAAAGGAAATAATCGTCACCATTTAAAAGAAAAAAATTACAGAAAACATAAAGCTTAATTTAAAACTTACCACATCTAGGATGCTATAGAGCTGTATGTGGAGCTGTACGATTGTAGTTGTATTGTAATTTTTAACAGGCCGGGCCATGGTGTACAGATCTTTTTTCTGGTCAGATTCAGGTGGTTTAAAACATCCTGATAACCACATTTACCCTCAGAGGAATCCTTATCTCCTGGAAGAATGTCAAGATACAATCAGAGTTTATCCTTGAAAGGGAAAAATAAATAAATTCCAACTGCAATGCTCTTGTTTTGCTTTCAAATTGAAACTTGAGTTTTACATTTTTATGTTTGTCTGTACATCAAATTTATGGGTGTTTTCTTAATTAGTTATTATTTAGAAGATATTACATTCATCTGTGTGATCCACTGCTTCTGTATTATCAAAGCTTGAAAAGCACCAGGGTCCTCATTTATAAAATGTGTAGGATCCATGCTAAAAGTGTACAAAAACCAAAAATGGTGTATGCAAAAAAAAATGATATAAAACTGTGTGTACACACACACCTACAGGTAACTTTCCCTTTATAAATCACACTCCACCTGTAAATGTGGGGTGCTGCGGTTCTCTTGGGTTGGTCTGTCTAATGCAGGTCTGATATTCAGCGCACTCATCTAAAATCACAGCTCTAGGGAATCCAAATCAGCGTATTAGCCAGCCATCATCACGGGTCTGAAAATCTTTGTGGTTCCTGAGGACTCTTTTATGTTGCTCACTAGCAAAGCACAAATACCACTGCTGGTTTTATAATATTTATGAGAAAGGGATAACGTGAAGGGATATTAAATATAAGAGAGGCATCCTTATACCTATTCCTGTCAGATGTAATTGAATTTTTATGTTAAATATTATCCACAGACATGATAAAACTATTATGGTGTGTCAGTGGCGTTTTCAGTTTCAAGACTTCTAGGCTTCAGGAATAAGGAATACATATGTATATTTATTTATACATACTTTCTTCAGAGCTCTGATTGAAGTCCTGTTGATCATCAAGAAGTTCTGGCAGCTCTGTGTAATTTGAGATACTTTCACCTGACAGAAAAAAGAATACAGATCTTTAATCTTTCAATATGATATCCTTGAACACATCTCCTGCTTTCCTACGCAGAACGATTAAGTGTTGACAACATGTATTAGTTATTTATAACCAAGAATCAACTTAGAAAGGCTTGTTGTGATATTATGATATCACAACTAGCCTAGGTCTTAGTGTTTGTATGACCACTTTAATTTACCCTGACTCAACCTGATTCAACTACAGCAGTTTAAAGTGAAAGAAAACTCTCTCAAAAATAATTTTGAAATCGAATGAATCTTATGTTTCGACATCCTAGAATGTGTCATTATGAAAAGAATATTGTCAGTAAACCAAATTCAATAAATATTTTGTCACTAATCTCTGGTGGAATTTAGATATGTAGGTATTGTGGTTTTCACCAGTTTTGAGATATCTAGTGAATCTATCCAACTCCAAAGTGAATGGGATTTTGTGTATTAATTTATAACTTTCTTACTGCTTTTACTGTGTATCTTATTTTTTTGCTCTTGTGAAAGCACTTGTAAGAAAAGTGCTCTATAAATAAATATAATAATAATTATTATTATTAGTAGTAGTAGTAGTATTAAGGATTTACATAATTGTGAGAACTGATCCATTCATATTCAACTTTGAAACTCTGATTTACTGTGTGTGTTCTTCATTACTTAAAAGAAATGACAAACATTAGTCTGTGTGGACATCTACTGCTTTCTTTTACATTTTAACAGAGTTCTAATGTTTGTCACTTTTACTGTATGTGCTCTAAATTGCTAACAGTTTAGAAGACATTTGTCTCTATGGGTGTTTCTGAATGTATTATCAACAACACCAGCTCACCAATATCTGCAGTAATTTACAGTGATTGTGGTCACTGAAAGGCCATTATGAGATGAGTGTTGGCAGGACTGACAACTTTAATGTCTTCAGTGCACTTTAATGATTTATTAAATGTGAGCATATTTGCACTCATTTCAGTCTATATAGATTTTCCATTTGAGAGCTATCTGTCCAAATTCATGTTGTCCAATTAAAGGACACAAATGCATTTTTCTACTTTTTTCAACCTAGAGTTAAACTGATATAATAATTCAGACTGGGAATCTCAATGACAGACCAGGCTAATTCTCATGCATTAATAACAGACAATGTATACTTTGTTGAAAAACTTTTTTCTTTTTACTGTACATACCATTAATATAACATTTGTTGTATTACTGTACACAAAAACTGCTTCAAAATAGTTACACAAAATAGTTAAAAACTGAACAGTGTTTAGATTCAAGACTTCCATGAATAATGCACCAGGAATACATTTTCATACAAATAATTACTGAGTGCTTTTGGAGTGTTTGTTTCCTCTACATACGTTCTTCAGAGCTCTGATTGAAGTTCTGTTGATCATCAAGAATTTCTGGTGGCTCTGTGTAATTGGAGGTAATCCCACCTGAAAAAAAGAGTGTGCAGGTCTTTATTTTTAATATGAGTTTATTGCTCACACATCTCCTGCTTTCCTACACAGAATAATTAAGTGTTGACATAGAATCAATTCAGAAAGGTAGTTGCTACAAGATGTGCTGAGGGTGGTCTTAAAAGTATGTAACGTACACATGTATGTACGAGCAATCACATGTGATGACAGGTGGAGATCACACCATCAGGCTAAAAGCTGTCAGAGGGTTGACGGTCTACAGTTCTGATTGACTGCATTTGCCTGTGTTGTTTTCACTTTAATGTACCCTGACTCAACCTGATTCAATTGCAGCAGTTTATAGTGTTGCTAAAACTGTTTGCAAAAGCTCTCTCAGAAAACAATTAGTAATTTTACTAAATAAATATTTCTCCCTTATCTCTGATGGCATTTAGCTATACAGATAGTTTTAACTGGTTTTCAGATATCCATCTCTACATTTTTGCCTCTACAGCAACATTTCCAAGAACAGAATTATCCACACACCACATAGTGAACAGATTTTGGAAAGACATATTCACGGTTTTGTAGTTTCAGTTTTCATGCTTTGACTATCACAAACAAAACTCCATTCATTCACTGTATTTGGGTGGCAACAAAAATTTCACACAGACAAAAACAAAATATTCTGTGTGGATTGATACCAATTATGGTTTTCTATAACTGTGTGAACAGACACATTAATAATCAACTCTGAAAACCCTGAAACTTAAGCTGCTTAATGGCTTATGTCAATAAAAGAGGAAAGAAACTCAGAGAAAGAGACTCAGCCATCCTTTCCCGCTCCTTACACTGACATTTTTCTGTGACACTGTTAAAATAAACAATGTTGTTTCATTAAATTAAAAGAAATACAGGTTTAACTAAACTGCAGAATAAAGAATAATCCCAATTTACCTGTGAGGGGGAGCAGAAAGAGGAAACCTGCAAGCATCATGACTGTCAGAGGTCTGCACAGTTAGTGATCATCCCTGTCCTCTCTCTGTTGTCTGGAAATGTTTGTTGCAGCAGTAATATCACTGCCTTTTACCAGAAGAGGGCTGGGCAAATGTAATGATCATTTGTTTGTCTGATGATAGAAACACAGCTAATTCAACAAAGCTTCCAATAACTGTCAACACCGTCTTAACAAACCCAAATCAGTTTACTTCTAGTTTCTTCTGTATAGTTTCCTATTTAGGAATACAAAAAAGCATACAAAAAAACTAAAATTTACATTTATGAACAATAAATGTACACCTTTTCACAGATTTGACCTGTTGCGGCACCAAGCTTTCACTTCCCTTCCAGGGCCCCGTTAATTTCTTGCCCTCTTTTGCCACCGAACATTGTGTTCCTCACAACTGGCACTTTTGGTACAGGTTCAAAGTGGAAGGAGCCACTGCTCTGGAAGTATTTTTCCTTACACACTAACAGTCTCTTAAATATTTTAACAATACTACGGGTTTAATATATGGTCAGCAGTTTTAATTATTTCAACTTAGTTTCTAAGAAATCCTTTATTTGTCTTTTTTAGTTTTAAAAGATCCCTCTAAATACTACCATATGAGCCTTAGCCACCATTGCTATGGAGAAGAAGCCAGTGAACGCTTCTAAAGAAGACTACTGTAACGCACAGTAATGCTGTGAACTAAATGCTAAAATCGGCATACTAAAGTGCACACAATGACAATGATAATATGCTCATATGTAAGAGGTATATTATTTACCATGCTTACCATGAATTTACTGACACCACAAAAATTGGCACAGGGAAATTATATTCTGTGTACATATGAAATAGGTGGTCCTTGCAAGTGACCAAAAAATAGTGTGTAAATGTATGTGCTGGTGTGTTTGTATAAGGAGAAATAAGAGAGATTATTTAGTCGTTTATTTGTGCAATACGAAGAGTATGATAAATGTTTTCAAAGCCAGTACTGTGCATACAACAGATTACTGTTATTCCATCAAATAAATACATCATGACATAATGTTGGCTAAAGCAAACCGCATTAATTACATTGCATCTTAGTAGAAAACAACTTGACATAAATGTTAAAATGATTGAAAACATTCCTGCAGTAATCCTGAGAGACAATGTACGATACATAAAGATATTTCATGGTAAAGACCATTTCCAATGTCATATTCGTGTACTACAATGTTACAATACAACCAGACCAGTGTCTACTACATACTGTGTTTCTGAACAGGCAAGTGCACATTTCCTCCTCATCTCTGCTAAAAGCAGTGTGGAAAGTGTTGATGATGCTACTGCAGGTGTGGACATAGACAGCAGGTACGATCAAAACTATGTTAAATGAATGGAACAGTTTCAGACGTTGAAATACAGTATGTTATTTCTTTAATTGACAAAGTAGTGCTTTATAGATTGAATCTTATGTCGTCTTGGCAAGTGTCAAATCTAGAACCATTTAAATGTATCATGCTTTTAGGGTTAAAAACTTCTTTGCACTTTTTTGCACCTTTTAGGCCAAGAGACACCTGCTTCATTATCCTTCCAAAACATTTAGTCATAGAATACATAAAGCACTTTTGTTTGACACAGGAATAGGGTCCACAGGCTAACAAGTGTACTGTCAGAATCAATGTGGCAAGCTCGGGGCTTGCCTTCCAGTCTTATTTTCAGGTATTCTTCAGCATACGTGTAGCAGGTCCGTATGTATAGGAAGTGTAGCGGACTGCAGTGAACACTACAGGAGCTACAGTAGTAGTATCAGCCTGCGAGTACCTTTACAATTGGAATGTCTGACTTTAAAATCTGTTTTTGCGGTCAAAAATAAAACATGTCAACATGTTTTTTTTTTTTAAATTATTGTTACTATTTTTTATTATAAAAAAAGAAGAAAATGCTCTTGATTGTTGGATTGACAGTAGCTTAGAGGATGAGCCTCTACAGGGGAACAAACTTGTGCTATAGCTTACAGGCCATGAACAGGCTGTGTGTTGTTAGCAGTGATATTGAATAATACAGGCCAGACCAGCATTTAAATGGACCAAAGTGATGTTTGCACCTAAGTTATGCTGGTTAATGTGCTGCAGCTAACCAGCGAATTAGCTAATAACCTAATTAATTAAGCTAATTAACCAGCTGTCAGTGTGACTGTCTGCCTAGGCTGGATTGGTGACGTTACAGTTTTAAGAGATTATGATTTTAAATTTTAAAAAAGAGCAATTTTATTGGCTGCATGGAAATGATAATAATGATAATTAGCTCTGGGTATAGCTAGTCATAGCAAAAGTAAAAGTTAATCATGTTTTCATTATGTAGCACTGATCATCTCTATGCATTGTTCCATTTTAAAAAGACAAAAGTTAAAAACAGACTGACCACTATTACATAGAAAATAAAGAAAACTATGTTGACTCTTTTAGCCACTCTGGTCCAATAGCCAGCCTTCTCCTCTTCCTTCGTGTCACTGAGGAGCAGGGTCAGTGTTTTCTCCATCCCTCTCAGCTCATCTGAAAGCCTCTCCAAGGCATGGCACCCCTCCGTTGATTTGGGGCTGTTGCTCTGCAAAAGTGGTTTAGTAAACTGGTTCATAGAATTATGGATTGTAATGTTATCAGCTGATACATTTGACAGTTAGCAGTTTGTGTCTATTATGATGAGAAGTACAACCCAATCCTAACCTCCTTGGCTACTGGTAGCAGTTCAGATGGAGTTTCATCAGTAGACACATCAGAGATACACGCACAGTGAGTCCATTTGTGCCCCTCTGGAAGGACAGTTTTTATCACATTCACATTCACATACAATATATTAATTAGAAAAATAACTGAAAGAACTGAAGAAATAAAAGAGAAGCTTCTATGCCTCTGGATTGCATGATCCAATCCATTTCTAAGTTTGTATTAAGTCCTTCCTACTGATGTTGTCTGGTTAGGTTATCTGAAGTTATTGGCATGATGTCTTGCAATTTTAAGTATTTAAATTCTTTCTAGTCCACGTCTTTATTAAACAGGTTTTAAATCAAGTATCAGGTCGTTCAAGCCGTTGTGTGTCTGTACTCCCATATGTACATGAATGCGCTTTTTGGTTTGGATGCACAAGAAAAATATTTGCCCCTGGGCCAATCACAATTCTGTTACGCTGCTGGTCTCACCTCTCCAGTTGCTGTGTTTGTTACAGTCCTCACTCAGGCTTTGTTCTCTGTCTGCCTTCTTATCTTGGGATTCAGAGTCTTTCTCCTTCAGATTCATTACCAAAATTGTCTCCAGGAGGCTGAGCATCATCAAACCAAAAATCCCAATACAGTAGACCGCTAAAGGGAGAAGGCAGCTTCATTTATGTGGACAAACTACACATGGAGTCAGTCTATGTGCTGTTCCTGCTCATACGAAGTGCACTCAATAAAGGAAAGAAGCTTCTTTACCTATAAGTGGAATCTTGTCTGATGAAGAAGGCAGAATTTCATTCAGAATAAGTTGTAACACAGTGACAGCAAGCAGCACAGTGACCTTGAAGCTGAGCTTCTCGCCCCCTCTGTCTGAGATCAGGAAGGAGGCCAAGTCCAGACACAAGAAGAACAGAACTGGCAGCACGAAGTTGACAACATAGAGCAAAGACCGCCTCTTCATGGTGATCTGTGAAATGAATGTTAAAGGGTCAGGTGGTTAATGTTTCTACACCTGCACATCTGACAAAGGCAACTGGAAACACAAGAGGTTCACAATTTGTAACAACAAAGCAATTGAAATTATAACAATCAATCTCATGTCTGCAGTGTTAAAAGAAGCAACAAAGTCATCAAGTGAAAGGAGCATGCTGAAGTAAAAGTAAAATACAATAAAAAATAAAACTACTAGTTGCTGCTGTCTTTTTATATTTTCATATCAGTTCAAGAATGAAACTAAGGAAGGAAATATGGACAAAGGAAAGGGAAGACAGAAAAACCCATCTTTATCTAGTTATACGTACAGTGTAAATGATGATGTCTTGGCCAACCAAATCACTGGCATGGTTGGTGATAACTGTCATGTTGAGGAACAGCCATTCATACTGGGTCCGCATCACCTCACGAGACACCTCTGTGGCCTCTAAAGAGTTGTCACTTGCCTGGAGCCGAATGTCCTTGGCTGAGGTGGGAGGTAAAAGAACTATATGGTTGTTTTAAGTGAGATAACAAGGAATGATGATATGTGTTGGAAGCCTGCAAGCTGATGTTTGCAGCTCCCTTTACCACTGGTGGATGTTTGTTTGGTAGCCTGTTCAACAAGCAAAAGAGCAGCACAAGACATGTCTTCATACTTCATACAAGAAGGAAACCTTAGCTAGAAAGCTATTTTGAGTTTTAAAGCTTTTTTGACCTTTGTTTGAGGGTCTTTTTGTGTAGTGTGGCAGATTGATCTTTGGCTTTGACAGATTAAGTGAAAAAAAATGGCATTTTGTGAAGTGTTGCCTCAGATAATCTTAAGAAATAAAGTATATATGTAATTAATATATTTAATTAATTTGGTTAATTGGTGGTGATAATAGTGGTAAATCAAAACCTACAGCTTAATGGACTTCCATTAAGTCGTCTACGTAGTAAGAGAACAAATGGTTTTCCTCTTAATGTTCCTCTTAATGTTAATGTCTTTTGTGCAACAATAAGCCCTTACAAACTCAAACATGCTTATAAACACAACTCTGCTGAACACTCTCACCAGTATGTATGACAGACTTGAAGGACAGGTTGCAGTACTGTATGTCGAAGGGGAACTTGTAAATGTGCATCCTGCATGTGCTGACCAGCACCTGGTCGTTCTGTACTTCGACGTCACCTTTATCATTGATTGTGAGATACGGACTCGGCGGGGCTTTGTCCGTCTCTGTCCTGTAAGAGAACATACAGACATGTGATCACAGACACTGACATGCACTGATATTTGTGCTCTGTTTTTCACCAAATTTAAAATCTGTATACCTCACTGTGTGGTAGGTAACTCACTGAAATGTACTGGAGGGTAACTTGAGATGCACCTTACAATGGGGTGGCACTTTTAATAAATGTCAAGTAGTGTTTTAGCAACCAAATGCTTCAGTTATTGTGCGAACAACACAATGCCCAATCACCCATTACTGCTATGCATGTGAATCAAAAACATGAAGGCACACTAAAATAACTGAAAATGTGATACTCATTTTGCTTTTACATTAGAATCTGGGAGCCATTACGTCAATCTACACATCAGAATTATGTGCTTATAATTATTTGTAATTCAAAAAAATCAATGTGTGTGTATGTGTGTGTTCGTGCACCAGGCAATTGCATTCAGACATACATTTCTTCAATAGTGAGATCCGGCTTCCACAAAACCTCCGTAGGAAGGGAAACATTATCAATTCCACAAAACTGTTTTGGATCCCAGGAAATGTATTCATTGTGCCACCTCTACAGAGAACAAAGCAGTAAGTAAAGGGGAAAGTGTGAGAGAGGGACAAAAAGGAAAAATAAATAGGCCATTTAAAGGATAAACATTTGAGTTTCCCAAGAAATGGAAATGGAAGATTTGCCAAAAAGTTCAGTCTTCATCATCTACTGAAAGAACTCACCACAACAGTCCAAACATAAGGAATGAATTTCTGGTCTTTCTCAACCTGTAAAAAGAAATATGTGTGAAAATCTTTCCAACCAGAAAACATGACAGCTCAACCAACACAGCCTGCTATTTGAAAAACTATATATTCAATATACTATATGACACAAGTTCAATCTTGACAAGACATGTTAAATCTACAGGAGAAAACTGAAGTAATAGATAAGAAAATTTATCTAGATCAAGAGGGCAATATTAAGTTAAATCTAATGACAAAAGCCACAGCTAGCCATAACTAAAGCTGAACTATTACTTTCCCCCCTACATCTGTCAATTTTCATAAGACATAATCTTTGTAATTGAGTTTGTGGTAAACACATAAATAAGGCAGTATCTGAATCCAAATTTTGGGAACAAGAAAAATGAAAAACAAGTGTTTAGGGTATTTTTTTTGCAGGGTAAAAATAATGAGCCCCAAAAGGCATAAAATAAAGGCATTACAACAGATCTCTATCTTTTACACAGTTTGCCTGGCCAGCTGGAACATTTTAAACCCTTTTAATAAAAACAAATTTTCTTACCCACTTCATCATCAACCATTCATGTTTGCTGCATGAATTTGGCAACCAATTAAAGAGGTGGTATTATGCTCATTTTCAGGTTCAAAATCTCAATTAGTGGTTGTACCAGAACAGGTTTACATGGTTTAATTTTCAAAAAACACCATCTTTTTCTCATACTGCACATTGCTGCAGCTCCTCTTTTCACCCTATGTGTTGTACGCTCTGTTCTTGAGCTACATCTTACTTGTACAAAATCTTTGTTGGGAGTTGCACATGAGCAGTTCCCAGGTAAGGACTATTAGCCAATCAGAAGCAGTGAAGGGCGGGTCGTAAGAAACAAGGTAGTGTGATCCAAATCAAACCCGCTTCAGACTGCGACGCTAGCAGATGGTATAAGTTACTCACAAGTCCACATCCACAAAACATCATTGTTCCACATCTTACGATAAACCACCATATTTCAACAAAATTTTACATAAAAATTGGCCAAACAATTTGAACGTTTGCTCAGTAGCTTTCACATCAGGTGTAACATTAGCATTATAGTTAAACTTCAGCTGTGTTAGCCAACGTTTACAACAATTCCGCACTTGCTGCCTTGCCGAAAAATGCTACCATAGCGCAAATCGACAGACTCGACTCTACTCGGCCCTGCTCCGTTTTCCATTGCAGATAGTACCCAGAGACAGTACGTAGCTGGTCGTCATAGCAACGCCACATACAACTGCGGCGACATAATGTTCAATGCGACACACACACCAGCGATCCACACAGCTTTCTCTTTAAGTTAAAACGTTTCAACATTACTCAGAATGTAAAGACAGATAAGCGGTATGAAAACCTTCCAGCTGTGTTTTCCTCTGCCGTTGTTGCTGCAGCGGTCTGTGTGACGGTGGGAGCAGAGGGCTCTGTGAGCGGGCGGCTGGCCGGCCTCACAAGCATTCTCCCTCGGGTTGGCACAGGCTTCCCCCGCAGCCACTTGCGGAGCTCCTCAACTCCAAAAATATTCAAGCACATTTTTGTTCCGCCATCACTTCTCATAATATATAATATTCTAAATCTACACAGCTGATTTCTCACCTCAAAACTTCTCAGAAGTAGATTTAGTGATGAAATTACATACAAAAACTGTAAAATATAAAACTTTCTGTTGCTGGCCTCTGTCTGGTGCACGCAATGATGATGCAGTGAATATTGTAAATTCTCTCTGACCAATCAGCAGTCTGTCGTGTTTTTACGTTACATTTTAGTTTCCCTCAGCTCGCTTGGAACCTCGATGGAGGTGAGGTGATACAAAAAAAAGTACCTGGAAGCAGGTACAGGTGCAACATTTCTACAATGGAAAACCAAACAAAGGCGAGTCGAGCCAAAGGGCCTCCGCTCAGACTAGCTTGGTTTGAGGGCGTGCCTGACCCCGCTAGCCGCTTGGCAAACTTTATGACGCATTTTCATTGTGACGTCACAAGTAAACGAAGTGAAGGACTGGACTACTAACCAGCTGTTTTCAAGTGGTTCAGAGCAGAGCTTTCTGTGGGAGATGGGAACTCCCTTTGGGCTGGACTTTGGGATTTTTCACTTTGCAAACCTGTTACATGCACAAAAAAGATATATAACTCAATAAAGGAGAGGGAAAGAGCCAAAAAGCATAATACCACCTCCTTTAAAGTAAAAATCTGAACATATGAGACCAAAATAACCTCATCATCATAGAACTTCATTATTATAATTTGAACATTGACTGATAAAGCTTTAACTACTTACCACATCTAGAATAGCATAGAGCAGTACTTCCAGGTATACATGTGTGGGGCATTTGTAGTTTTTAACAGGCCGAGTCATGGAGTACAGCTCATTGTTTTTGGTCAGATTCAGGTGGTTTAAAACATCCTGATAACTGCAGTTACGCTCAGGGAAAACCCCATCTGCAGCAAAAACATAACAGAAACAGAAATTACTCCTAAAAGGAAAGTTTTCTTTTAGATTATGTTTGTGTGTACATCACATTTACTGTATGTGCTCTAAATTGCTAACACATTAATGTTAGCAATTTAAGACATTACTCTCTATGGGTGCTTCTGAATGTATTATCGAATGTGAAAAACACCATATATCTCCAGTAATATATGGAGGTTGTGGTCGCTGAAAGGCCATTATGAGATCGGTCTTGGCTGGACTGATGGGTTTTAGCTCATCAGCCCACTAATGATTTTTAAATGTGAGTATTATTACTGTTTAAATAAGGTTTTTTATATATTATGAAGGATGTGGGATTGAGTGAAGATTATGGGTGCATCAATCACAGGAACAAGTGCACAGTTAACTTAACCAACTAACCAATTTCTACTCTTGCTGTATCACTGTTAGGATTACATGTGACCGGGTGAAGGACTTATAAATTTGGGTGTGGTTTTTCTGGCATTCATGCATGACAAAGTCAGCCAGGCACATGACCCTGGCCAAAGCTCCTCCATAGCGTCAATTAATGTGGTAACCACCCTGACTCAGACTGAGCACTGTCCGACCAGCAGAGGGTAGCGTAAGCCCAGCAGTGTCTATTCAACGTATTCAACGGGCTTTCTCACACTACCTGAGATCCATCTGTAATCTGTTGCCCAAATGCTTGTTGCTCAAATCAAAACTTAAGGAAATCTTGAGAGGTGATTAACTCCTGATTAAAGAAGTTGCAGAAGACATGAACACAGTTATTGAAGCTTGATCAAGCAGAAGCAATACAAGTGAATCACAGCGTACTGCCACCCACTTCTGAAGCATACTTCCTGCTGGGGAGTATTTAAATCCAAATGTGTCCCAATAGGGGTTTTTCACCTGGCTATGTATGTGGAAAGAGTCTGTTGGGTATTGTATCCTAAAGAAGAAACTATGCTTACCTAAGTCACTTTTGTATGTCACTCAGGTCACATTCAATGCATTCTACATCAGCCTGTTGAGTCTGAGGCAAAATGCGGACTATCTCCAATGACCTTGGTCTACTGGAGATTATTGCTCTAAAAAAGACAGACCATTACCTTCTGCTTTTAGGCTTGCAAGTGACCCAATCCTGTCTTGGGGAAGCCCATGTCATGTTACCTTAAACCTAAAGAAGGAAAATTCCTTCACAGAGACTAGCAGCATAATTTTCAAATCTGGATTTAACAACCTCATTGAGCTGGCAAAAGTTCCCCCAGGATGTTTTTTGTGTTATCTAATGTTTCTCTTTTATGGTTGCTGTAATATGCCACCTTTTCAAAAGGGAAATATTGATATTCTTTTTGTTCTAGTTTTTGTTTTTAACATTTTAGTATTACTCTGGAAATTAAAAAGGAAACACTTAAGACTGAAAGCACTGTGGTCACATTGGTTAATTCATTCACTATAAACACCAAGCACATACATGCAAATTACAAATAGAAAGCAACAGTGAAAGTCAGCGTGGCCTTCCACTATTTTTTTTCAAAAACATTAAATTCAGACCATGGGAATGCACAGGGAATAAGTTTAGCCTTTCTCATGATACACCTGAAAGCATCGTGCTGAACATTGTCCAAGCTTACCTGTGAGGAAGAGCAGAAAGAGGAAACAAGTAAGCACCATGACTGCAACTCCTGTGAGAATCCAAAGTCAGTGAGAGGTCTGTACTGTTAATGTGTATGCCTGTCCTCTCTGTGTTGTCTGGAAATGTCACCAAATCTGTAGTGGTAATAATACCACTGCCTCATACTGGAAAAGGGACGGGCAAACTGAATGACTGACCCTTTTATGTTTTTGGTAATCTCATTAGTCTGACAGCCATCCGAAGAGACGGTGGTCACTCCACAGCGGTCACCAAAGCATCTTTTAGCGGTCTTTTAGGGGAGGAACAGGAGCTGTGAAAGCCCAAAGTGAACTGTAATGACTTTTTGGTGGTACAAGTAAGTACAGTAAATGCAGCTAATAAACATTTTGTACACAAACCTTCCAGGCGAGAAATTCAATGAGGAATGGAGTCAGCTTCTCCTGTCTAGGATTGCTGTTATTAAAGATGGGGTAAGCGATTCTAATCCAATACATGTCTTTTTGTCAAATTCAGCAAATACTGTATTGTCAAACATCAGCAGTGTTTGTACACAGCCCTGGCTCTGCCAAAAAACACTATTTAATCTGATCCAGCCACGAATTTATGTATCAGGTAACATTAAATTACTTGTCCCCGACAGCCACTCAAATAGGCTATTTGCAGCAGCGGCCCCTCGGCCCCAGTCAACTGTCTCAAGTTTTTACTAACAGTTAAATTTGACCTATAATTTATAATTGACCCAAACAAATAGAAATTATAAAAACAGGTAAATCTGATAAAAGACTATTGATACTTTTATTTCAAAAATACAAATGTAGCCTATCAAAAATAAAAAGAAATTTGGCCCCAATTACTAGTTACTTAAAAAAATAGGCTTTTAGAGAGTTTAAATATGATGTTTTATATAATTTTAATTACTTAACAGCTTATACAAGTCCAGCTAGTAGAACTACATCAGTTAGGCTAATTGACAGAAACTGAATTGGCATCTGATTTAGCATTAGTCATTTTTCATGTAAAAACATTTCATGGTTCCAGCTTTACAAACCTGAAGATTTGCTGCTTTAACTTTTTATTATTTTAATGTATTTTTATTGATTTTGAGGTTTGGACTGACAAAACAAGCATGCAAGGTGTCACACAGGGCTCTCTCACTATTTTCTGAATTTTTTACAATCGATTAATAGAGAAAATAATCAGCTGATTAATACTAAAAATAATCATTAACAGCAGTCTGATAAAAAAAAATAGTTCAACAACAACCAACTACATTAATGCATGAGGAATAATAATCTAATAATATGATATATAGGCTAATAGTATAACAGTCATATGGAACATTTTCTTTCTGCTTTGAGTAGGCTACTCGCAAGCCTCGCAATGGTTGACAAAAGAAGTTGAGTTCACATGCTCAGCGTCATAAAGGTTGTCTTTAGGAAATAGTGCTACCAGCATTGCTGCAGATGTTGAAGCAGTGGGGGGTCAGCCTGTCAGTGCTCAGACTATACACAGCACACGTCAAATTGGTCTGCATGGCTATCATCCCAGAAGGAAGCCTCTTCTAAAGATGACGCACAAGAAAACCTGCAAACAGTTTGCTGAAGACAAGCAAACTAAGGACATGGATTACTGGAACCATGTCCTGTGGCATTATGAGACCTAGATAAACTTATTTGGTTCAGATGGTGTCAAGTGTGTATGGCGGCAACCAGGTGAGGAGTACAAAGACAAGTGTGTCTTACTTACAGTCAAGCATGGTGGTGGGAGTGTCTGGTCTGGGGCTGCATGAATGCTGCCGGCACTGGGGAGCTACAGTTCATTGAGGAAACCATCAATGCCAACATGTACTGTGACATACTGAAGCAGAGCATAATCCCCTCCCTTCAGAGACTGGGCTGCAGGGCAGTATTCCAACATGGTAACGACCCCAAACACACCTCCAAGACGACCACTGCCTTGCTAAAGAAGCTGAGGGTAAAGGTGATGGACTGGCCAAGCATGTCTCCAGACCTAAACCCTATTGAGCATCTGTGGGGCATCCTCAAATGGAAGGTGGAAGAGCGCAAGGTCTCTAACATCCACCAGCTCTGTGATGTCGTCATGGAAGAGGACTCCAGTGGCAACCTGTGAAGCTCTGGTGAACTCCATGCACAAGAGGGTTAAGACAGTGCTGGAAAATAATGGTTTCCACCCAAAATATTTACTCTTGTGAAGAAGTTTTGGAGACTGATGAAGACTTAACATAGCGTGGTTTATTGAGCCCAGCCGATGAGATATAGTGCCAGCATACAACATGTGGACACGTCAAATACCAACACCAAATCTGAAGCATTACATCTTTTGGTCCCTTTCTTTCCCCTAGTGCCTGTAGGTTTCCCTATTAGGTCATCTTTAGCTTCCCTTAACCTAGAACAACTAATCTATCTGATGTTTAGACTCCAATGCTGCATCATACTGGAATCTATTACTAATCTGTGGAGCCAGTGAGTTCTTGTAAACATTCTTGTAAGACTCAACCTTGTAAGATTGCCAGAGAACAACAATATATGCTAGCCTGCTGCCTGAGCTACTGTCTCTACCGTACCAGTCTTACCGTCATCTCCCTAACAACGACAGTTACATGTGAGAAATAACTAGAGCTGGAAGGTCAGTGAACACTTGTAGGGTCAGCTAATGACTCTAAACTAGACCTGTCTTACCTTTCACTGTTACATCAATTAAGACACCTAAGAACATTTTTTAACATGAAGGAGGAAACAATGTTGATTGAGGCTCACAGTATGTCAGTTCCACGTGGCTCCTGAAATCTTTTAATTCAACCACGCCAAGGTAAATACAGTTTTCCATTTTACAGCACCTTTAAAGAAGCTACACTTTGATTTTAATATGTTTTATGTTTAAAATGAACTCACTAAACATGGTGCATATTACATATCAAAGGCTAATAATAATGTATAATACAGACTGGTGTCATAAGCTAATACAGAATATGTGTTTGACATAGACGTAGCAGTGTGTAGAACATGCAAACAACACTGCTGAGGGACTACATTTATCGAAACAGTTAATAACACATTTTTATCAGTTGGTTAAAACCCGGTGTACAAATTTCTCAAGGCATGAGTACCATCAGGGCTGGACCGGTAATTTGGCACACCAGGCAAAGGAGTAAAAGAGCTGTGGTGGCCAATGCCAGGCAGAGGAGGAGGCATGTGTTAGCTAAACAGAGGGATAAAGTGACAGGGCCGAGTGACAGAGAGAGCAGGAGGAGAGTGGAGGTGAAGCAGTAAGCATGAAATAGCTCAACCTGTAGGGAGGGTGGGGACACTGGGGACGCAGGGGACCTGTAGCCACCACTTTCTGAAAGCATTTGTTAAAAATGTTCTGAAAAATGGCTTGCACCAAGAAATGTTGATTAACAAATAAAAATGCCATGAGAATGGTTTATTTGCAGAATAATAAACCATCAGTGCAATGTAAATATAGAAAAAACCTTGCGTTGTAAAAGTAACTTAAAAATAATAAGCTACTGATTACTGCATTATATTTTATTATATTTTTATATTGTGAATTGTCACCGGCCACCTGAATTTTGTGCTTCCCTTTATAAAAATAAACACTTTTTTTTTTTACCATACCAGAATGCAGGAAATGAAGTGTTTAATGCTAAAAATCTTGCAGGGGTGGACCCCCAGACCCCCCTATCAAACATTTCATCTATAAATATTTTTTGAAATAGTAGGCCTATTAAATACATATTCTTGTCTTGTAGTTATGGACAACAATCTTGTGCAAATTTTACATCTCAGTGTTTCATCACACCCCAAACCTGAACCCCTAAATGGATCAATGGTGTATTTGTGAGTGGGTGTCCGACATTTTGGTGGGCCGCCTCGGCCAAAAATGCCAGTGCCAAGTTTTTGTCCCAGTCCAGCCCCGCATCAGAACAATTTGTTAGAATAGGAGACTTGACTCTCAAAGGTCCACTACAACCTGCAAGGCAAGAGTCACATGACTGAAGACATCAGTAGGCTTTTCTTTGTAAGAAAAATTTACAACACATGTAATTCAATAATCCATTCCAGATCAAATGTATCCATTGTATGATATTTACACTGTTAGGATTAAGCCAGATTTTTGCTCCCGACTAATATTACAATCAGGCCGACTTTCTGCCAGATCAGATGTTGTTAAACGTGCAGTTTGAGGGGGGTCACAACACCTGATTAATTGTCCATCAACACTGTCAGAAAATCATTTATTTGCAGGTCAAAATTTTGGGTCAGCTGTTATACCAATTTGGTTTGCTTAAAAAAGATCAGCTATAAACTTAAGTGAACTGAAAAACTGATCTTGACTGAGACTGCGCTGTGCTATAAAACGAGGGTCACGATATGGTAACCCTAGTTCTATAAGCACAGGCGGAGCCCTCTACTGGACTCTAGGGTACTACCTCCTCCAATCACATGCACGCACTTGCCCACTGAAATTTTATCGTGCATGTAGCTGACCAATAGGACGTCGCTACCGATACGTAGCGGAGCCTGTGTGAGATAGAACTGAACTTTCTGTTCACAGTGGAATAGCACAAAGTAATGCTGACTTAGAATGACATTAACAACAATAGTAATCATTTGATTGCAGAGGTTTTGTAATCAGCACAGTAAACTGCAGCTTAAGTTGCTGTCAGTCTTCAAAAACAAATTTCCCTGTAGTTCCATGTAGTTGGTTCATAGCAACTGTGAACCCTCAATGGCATACATAAAGCAACATGGGGTAGATTTTTTTCTGCAACTACAGGGGTGAACACAGACAACAAATGTGTTAAGGTCCATGTTAAATGGAACAATGACTTCAATCAATCAACTGTAGCACTACTGATCATCTGCCTTGTACCACTTTAAAAAGATATAAGCAAAAAACAGACCGGCCACAGTGACATAGACAATGAAGAAAACTTTGTTGATTCTTTTAGCCACTCTTGTCCAGTAGCCGGGCTTTTGTTCTTCCTTCCTGCTGTTGAGGAGCACTGTCAGTGTTTTCAACACCTCCCTCAGGTCATCTGAGACCTTTTCAGAGTCATGGGACTCCTCTGTCAATTTGCTGCTGCTACCCTGCAGAGATAGTAAACTGGTAATTAATGAGATCATGGAACACAAGATTGCATGCTGCTATATTTAACACTTTAGTTTTTGTGTTTATAATATTGGGAATAAAACGGTTGGTCCAACCAAATTACAAACAAACATATTATCTCACTTACTATTATGGTATCTGATGTCATGCAAATTGTTTTTGGGTTGGTTTTAAGATAAGCCCAGCCCTGCCCTAGCCCGACAACGTCTGCAATTTTTCAGTGTGAGCCTGACCCGAGACCGACATCAATATCAAGCTCTCTCTGATGCACAGTCTCTGATGCGCGGTCTCTCAGATATACGCACACACACACGCTCCAACTTCTCCCTGCTCTGCTTGGTCAACTGTCCCTACATGCCTATTGCTCAGGCTTTGTAGAATATTGGCACCGTATGACGTGTATTTGATACTTTTTTATACAAGTAATATTCTGTGTGAAATAAATAAGCTGTTTCATAGTAGCCTATTTCAGTTTTGTGCAAGAGGAATTAAGGGCCCGCTTCACATTTGGTCTGAAAGCACCATTAACCCCAGTTGCTCCAGAGGCGTGTGACCTCTGGCATAAATAGCAATTGTAAGTCATTAACTGTTACCACAAATACCAAAAATTGGAATGCCTAACATTAACTGTTGTTGTATTAATTACTGTGAATTAAGTTTGAATTTGTCGTTCCATCATATTTTAACAATTAATTGGTTTCTGTTCTATGAGTATAGGCTTCGCCCTCTAAGAGCTGTCGCTATTGGGTTCATCCCGCACATGCGTAGTCCTGAAGATTTCTTTCGCGCCCATGTGCCGTGCACGGGACTCTCTCAGGTCCGCAAATAAGGTATATATTACCGGCGAGACAAGAGATCTGCTCCCCTTTTTTCTTCACCGCTGCATAGCAGTCACTTCAGAGAGCAGAGTAGCATCTAAAGAGCAATTTCTCCTACTAAAGAGCTTTCCTATGGCTACTCACCGCTCTACCGTTGAGGTCCGCCGCTCGGAAGGAGTCCGCCTCTGCCCGTCCTGCCACGCCGGCTACATCATGGGGTTTGATCTCCACGCCCGCTGCGAGACCTGCCTCGGTCCTCAGCACGCTGGCCTGGCTCTGAATCCCCGGGCCTCGTGCCCCTACTACACACAGCTGCCCTTGGAGGAGAAGCGACGGCGGGTCGACGCCTTCGCGGCCCTGCAGGAGGAGGAGGATGACTATGCTAGCTGGGCTAAGCCAGTTAGCTTCACGGCGGACTTGCAGGGCTTGAGTCCTCTGACCAAGCGGCCCAAACAGCCCCGCTGTTGTCCCTCTTTCATATTATCATGAGTGAATCGGTGGTTAAGCGTTTAAGAGGAGTGAGAGAGCGCCACAGAGGGATTTACCACTTGTGCTGCGCGCTCTGAGCAATCCCCCTTTGAGCCACTGCCGCAAACTTCTCTTAGACTGCTGTCTTTGAAGACAGCCCTCCTTTTGGCACTGACCTCTGCTAAGAGGGTGAGCGATCTGTGCGGTCTCTCAGTTGCTCCATCCTGCCTCGCTATCAGAGCTGACGGGAGGCTTCCCTGTAAAGGAGCCTTTTCAGATATACGTCATTTTAAAATATAACGTTACAGACAGAAATCACTGTGCGGGACGGATGAAACACAACGACATACATTTAAATAGTTTTTTTAAAACTTTAGGATGTGTTAAAGTACTAACTAATGTTTTATGTGATCACGACCATGGCACATGGAACAATAAACCCAACTCGTCATTCAAAAAAAAAGATCGCTTGAGTGAATTTACTTTCCGTGATTGAAAACAGCTTCTTTCGTATAACTCTGTGAAAGTGTGACGTATCCACCTGATTTTTCCCTGTTCTGTTAAGTTCTGTGGACTGTACGTGCTGAGGTAGTTTGGCATATCAGACGTGTATGGTCTCTGAGAAAATCGCTGTGTTTCATTCGTCCCGGCTCTCCCCTACTTTGCGCTTTAGCTAATTATGTTAATTGTCCAACATATGCAAGTTAGTATCAAGATGTTTCTCAATGCTGGGGAACCATACTATACATTTCTAGCATAAAACATTTACAGATTCACCTTGCTGGCAAGCAATGTTGTATGTCGTCAAGTGTTCAGAAGGAAATCTGAGGTTTTTGCTCACAAGGATTTATTTTCAATACTTTCACCTCATTATTTCCTCATTAAGTCTCCTTTAATTTGGGTGAACCAACCACTTAAAGGGAAAACCTTTGTGTGCTAACCTCTTTGGCCACTGACAGCAGTTCAGATTGAGATTTAACAGTAGACACGTCACAGGCAGACCCACTTTGAGTCCATTTCTTGTCTGAAAGGATATGTTTCACACAAAGATGGTTGTATATTCAAAATAATATAATTAACCAGTGTGTTAAGTTGTAAATGTGTCAGTGAGTACTCAAATCCTAAAGGCGTACAACTTAATATTATATTTTACTTTCTATAAAGATCAGTAATAACGGTAGTAAACTGAAAAACAAGTAGAAATCTATGCTTAATCTCACCTCTCAAACAGCTGTGTAAGTTGACACTGCCATGTTTGTCCCCACAGTCCTCACTCAGGCTTTGGTCTTTGTTTGCCTCATTGTCTTGGGATGCAGAGTGTTTGTCCATCAGATGCATCACCAAAATCGTCTCCAGGAGGCTGAGCATCATCAATGCAAAACTCCCAATACAGTAAGTCACTAAAGGGAGGAGGCAGCATCATTAATGGACAAATAACACTGAGTCAGCATGTGCTCTGTACTCTGAGCTCCTTTACCTATAAGTGGAATCTTGTCTGACGTGGAAGGCAGAATTTCATTCAGAATAAGTTGTAACACAGTGACAGCAAGCAGCACAGTGACCTTGAAGCTGAGCTTCTCGCCCCCTCTGTCTGAGATCAGGAAGGAGGACAAGTCCAGACACAAGAAGAACAGGACAGGAAGCATGAAGTTGACAATGTGCAGGAGAGACCGCCTCTTCATGGTGATCTGTGAAATAATTTTTAAGGGTCAGGTGGTTAATCTGCCTACTCCTATACTTTTCAGCTTGCAGTATGTTTCCCTGCCCGTCTCATTTGTTCTTTAGGTTATTGCAAGGGATTTACTTAATGTACATTACCTTCACAGTAACAAGCAGCAGACAGACACATCTAGCAACTAGGTGGCAAACATAGTGAAGCATTTAGCAGCAGCCAGATATTTTTCTAAGTAGCTTGTAGGGACCAAAAACAGAAATAGTGCACAAGGAGCAAATCAAAATGGCAAAAATTGTCTTTTACATGTCAGAGTTGATCATGTTAGTTAATTTTGTAAATGTTTAAAGGGGACCTATCATGCTTTTCCATTCCATTTTGTGGCATATTTACAATGTTAAAATGACAGGTGTCAAACTTCAAATAATGAGGTAAAGGTATTTAAAAGAAATCCCTGTTCTGAACACCAGATTTCTATATATGGTCATTAGCTCCAAGCGCAGAATGGCATCCTCCTGCCAACTTGGTAAACACAGAAGACAATGGCCAATCAGAAGACAGCATCTACAGCATGTTTCAGACAGAGGCTATAATTGGTCATCTGCAGCTAACACTGCCTCTTTTATGTGAACACGCTCACAGCTGGATTGGGAAACCCTGGGTTGAGTTAACGAGTTGATAACCAGCTTTGTGGCATCACTTATTCTGACCGCGATTGTTAGGGTTAGGTAAGCCAGATAACTAAAAGATATCCTGGTGTGTTGAACTCACATTGTGGTACAGGCCATTGGTCAGAAAGGCCACCTCCATCTTGGCCAACCCATCCTACCCTGTACCAGGAATTCCACCTTCCACCCTCTGGGTGGAGCTTTGTGGTCAGGAGAGATGGAAAATAGTTTCAAGCTCTGGATTTTTGTATTGAGAAATACTTACAGTGTAAACAATCATGCTTTGTTCAATGCCAAGAGTGCTGACATTTTTGTTGGTGATGCTCATGTTGATGAACAGCCACTCGTACTGGGTCCGCATCAACTTGTGTGACCACCTTAGGACTTCTGAAGGGCCTAAAAGTTCATGAAGCTGTATTTCCTCGACTGTGTTGGGAGATAAAAGTAAAACTGAGGTTTCTTCAGCAGCTCAACAAAGGAATGTATAAATATGGCATCTTCTGGTGTGTGCTCATGTGACAACAGTTAAGACATTACAACAAGACATACAAGAACATAACAGATTACAGGCTCACCAGAGTGCATGACAGACTTGAAAGATAGGTCACAGCTCTGAATGTCAAACGGGAATTTGTAAACTTGCATCTTGCAAGTGCTAACCAACACCATATCATTCAGACGTCTGACCGTACCGGAGTAAAAAACTCTGAGAAAAGGACTCGGAGGAGCCTTATCCATCTCTGTCCTGTATGAGAAATCACACACAATGACAAAAGCTTTATGTTTCAAATTAAATTATACCTTAAAACAAATCTACAGCATGACGCAAATTATTATTTTAAGTCTTAAACTTATTTTTCTATAAATATAGAAAATGTTATCTGCCTGTACTAACATTTTTGTAAATGTTTTATTCATACTGAATTACTGTACTTATTGGGTACATGTATGGTGGCCCAGAGGTGTCATACAAAAGCCACAACACAAATACATAAGCCACAAGTCAGTGTTTGTTTTGTCCGTTCAGGGCTACTATGGAAAAATGGCAGTGACATGACAGACTCCATGGGAAAGGACATGCTCCCTATGTAGATATAAAGGGTTCATTAAAGTGTAACACAGAGAAGTTGAGTTTGCCTTGCACTGGATTAGGTGTAAAGACAACTACAATCACCTAAATTTACATATTTGTAATACATATTTTAAATAAACACTGCATTGAAAATGTGATTGCATTAATATTTGGTATCCAAATGCTTGAGTTTTTGTGCCATTTCTAAACAGTAATATGAGACTATATCACCAGTTACTGTTGTGAGTCTGCAGATTTGTGACATGCAAATACAGTACATTAAAACTTACATCTCTTCAATAGTTATATCTGGCATCCACAATGCTTCAGTAGGAATTGATAAATAATAAAGTCCACAAAAATGTTCTGGATGCCACTTGATGTGTTCATTTTCCCAAGCCTACACGGGTAAACAAGGGAGGGAGGAGATAAAGAATGAAGGAGAGAAAGAGAGAATAGATGCAATTTAGAGAGAAAAAAAAAAAGGAGTTTCCACTAAAGATAGGCAGGTGAGAATGATCAAAAAGATCTGTCCATATAAGAGAGAACTCACCATATAAATCCAAACATAAGGAATGAAAGTCTGGTCAATCTCCCTCTATGAGGAAAGAAACACAGTATGTGTGAAAATCTTTTCCACAGCACAACTATCATCATAAGCTGACCATACACACAGCAAAACTGATAAAACAAAGCGCTGTGCTGGTTTTTAATATAAAAAACAGTTCACACAAATCTGTCTTCAACACAACGCAAGTTTAGTTAATACACATCAAATCTAAGCACAAAACCCCAAAAGGCCACACAGTGCTCCAAATTTGTTAATTAGGGATCCAAGCCCGAGACGGGCATGGGAACCCTATTGTAATCCTAAAGATTTTTATTATTCTTCCGCCGCTAAAAGTGATACTGCAGCCTAGACGGCAAGTGCTACAGATGCCAAACTCATAGGGTAGGTCCAAACCCACGCGAGTACCTCATGTGCAACAATTCACACACTTCTACCTCTAGACGGCGCTATAAGCAAGATAATTGCGTTTGGGCTTCGAACTCCTGCATACAAAGGCGCATTTCAAAAACCTTATATCCACATGTGTTCAGGGGATTGAGCTGAATCTCCCGCTATAGGCCACGCCCACTTCCACCGCCTAGATTTTATTTTATTTTTTTCCACAAAAACTGAAAAACCTATTTTAATCAACTCCTCACCAGCAGTAAGTCCAATCAGCACCAAAATCTGGACCAAGCTGATAAAAGTTTGTTGAGGAAATTTTGATCTGCGAAATTATTTCAGAATAATAAGCTAAGAAATGTTTGCAAAAAACTCTAAAAACAGGAAATAACATTACTCTTTTACTCATAGTTCTGTTTTTTGCAGGCAAAATGTTTCTGTGTTTGTGAATTATTAAACAAACAAAACCATCTTAATTTTGGGTTAAAATTGAATTAAAATTGTTTGTAATGGGTATTGTGATGGCCACAGCCGTGGCCTCACAACCAGATGAAGAGCACTAACCTCATGAGTTTATGCTGTGTTCTTTAGGATTAGTTTATATACCTTCTTCATACACATTAGATATTTGTTGCAAATATTTATTTGGTTACAAATAAACTTACAGGACACTTAGTTCATTTCACATTCACAACATTATTTAGTTGACTATACAGAAGCATCTTTTTGGAGTGCGCACCATTAGTTACTTTTGGATTGTCATTTTGTTATAATTTTGTTTCTGAGTTTACCAGTGTTGGATGCCACACCCAGGAGAGATCCAGGAAGTCTGCTAAAGTGTTGGTGCTTGGAGCAGGAGTAGCTTTATAGGGGAGGTGGCCTAATTGGACACTACCACTGCTTGCTATGTCTGGGGGGTGGTTTTATTCTCTCCTTAAATATTTTGGGGTTTAGATTTATATTATATTTGAGTATTTTGAGTAAAGGTTAATTAAATGTTCATTTCTTTTAGAATAAGTTTTTAGGTAGGTTTTGTAGTTATGTAGTAGCGTTGTGGTTGTTAGTCTTTCCATGTGTGTCAAAACTGGTCTGATCAGCCAATATAAGTCCCCTTTGTTTCTTGTATAGGAGGTCAGTTGTATTTTTGAGTCTCTTATGTTCAGAGCTTTAGTTACCGTTTGTTTATTTGACCTCTTTTATGGGCCCGAAACTTTATCTTTTATTGTAATGATTTTTTGGTAAATAAAAACCCTTCTTTGAATTTCCCTCTTGACTCCTCATGCCTAACTGCCTGGTCCCTCACAGGTATAAAATTACTGATTTTCTTTTAGTATTGCATTATATTATTGCGTTACAGCAAAAAGCAATATGTTGCTGTAATTGCGTTACTTTTGTAAAGCGTTACTCCGAACACTGAGTAACACCATGGAAGAGGAGCATACTAACAAAACCTAACTGAGAATACATGATAAACATTAACACACACTAGGAAGAGTTTAAAAAGAATACAACAGGAAAAACGCCAAAACCATGACAGTTCTGGGAGATGACCCGGAGGTCTACATGTCAGGCTGAGCAGGTCAGGAGGGCAGCTTGGGGGTTTAGCCAGCAGAGCAAGTCAGGGGGTTGACCAGGGAGCCAAGAGCAAGGGCAGAAACCTGCAGGAGGCCAGCGATGAGGGCTGGACCACTATGGATGCCTCTCTGTGTCACTGTTGGCTCCTTTCCACATGGCTTTGAGCTCCACCAGGTCTTAAACTAAATCCACCAGTTCACACTAACAGGATATGAGAGTATCAAGTGTAAGTAAAGCAATTTACTTCATTATCTTCTCAAAACATGAGAGCTGTAGAACAAGCTGTAGGCTATGTAAAGTTGATCAAAAATGAAATCAAATAGTGTTTTACTTTACTGACTGAGATAATTCTGTTGATGCTACATGTGTTTTGTTTTTACAGTAATTAAACAAAAATCTACTATGATAGTAGCAGAAATAATTACCTGGAGATGATAAAAATAATGCAGAACAATCACCAACACTAACAGGCACTAATAATTGTGTATCAACCAACCAGACTGCGACAGCAAGTCATGACAAAGTCTGTAGGCAGAACAAACAGGCTAACAAGCACTCAATATAGTGCTGAATCAACTTGTTCTCACTCCCAAGTCATCACATATGAATGCATGGTCAAGACCCGTCAGCGTCAGTTTGAAACGCACTGGGGATCCCCATAGTGTCAAAGGTCAATGCAGTAGGGAACGGCCTGTATCTTCAGTTTTGGACGGTAACTTAGGTATATGATATTTAATAGAAAAGACTGAGTAAAGAGGCAGTTGCAGTGGATGGAGGGCCAGAACCTGGGCTTTCAATCAGGAGACCGGTGTGAGCATGTGTTGGCTGAATGGTACATCTGGTTTGGTATTCTTTTGACATACACATTGCAATTTGTATCATTATTTAGGATTGTAAAGCATCCATTTATATCGCTGGCAGTTAGTTTGGTTACATATAAAAAATGATTAGGCAGAAGAAGTTGAGAGCTTTTGAGTGCTAGTATATGGCTATTTCCTAGAGACAGAAAGTGTCAGGTTTGGCTGATGCAGATGCAGGTAAAGTGAGAGTGTTGACGCAAATGCAGACACCGACAAAACATGCAGGATGCAGTTCTTGTGATTTATAAAAAAAAATAACTAACTATACAGGCTTGCATTGAAGCACGACAGATGTCCAACAAAAGCAGAATCCAAAAGTAGTAATTCCAGAAACAGCACAGAGTAATTCAAAACACAGAGGCAGGACAGAACATTCAACATTCGGCGAGGACAAAAGGACTGAACAGAAATGAGCACATTAAATACAGGGGTAAATGAGCAGGGAGAAAGTGAACAGGTGAATCAGATCAGGAATGATCAAACAACAGGAAACAAAGCTAAACATGTAATCCAGACAGCAATAACTTCAGAGTAAAACAGGCAATAGAGCTGGCGACAATACACGAGGACAAATGTAACAAAATACAACAGAGAGCATGGAACAGGAGCACGCAAACAAAATGTAGTGAACAACGGTGTGGATTTGTGCATTTTATATTGAATAAATTTGGAGCTACTCCAAATTCCTCTATCCTCTCCCAGAGAAGAAGGGGGGGTGAAAGTTGCTTTCTCTAAGTGCTATCCCTGACCATAAAACTGGCACCCTTTTGATTCCGAAGCTGATAACGCGGGGCCTGACTGTTAAACTGACAAAGGGACACGAACCAGCGATTAGAATTTCCCTGAACAGCCTATCAAAACTGCCCCCCCCCCCCACACACACACACACACATGTAACAGTGGCAACTGACCTTGCTCTGTGTTTTATTACCCCATCAAAGGGATACTCCTTGTCTCACCTAAGTGTGACATAATCCAGGACAGCCGAACTTTAAATAACCAAAGACTGCAGTCTCCAAAGACTCAAAGCTAGTTACCTGATACTTTGCCTCTATTTGAGTAGTTATGTTAACATGTTGTTACTATCTGTTGTTGATATTAGTGCTGAAAAGAATCTAAATAAGTTACTTTTACAGTGTTTTTTTATTTTCAGCAAGACACTCCCTCATCTAATGTAATCAATGCTTGTTCATAATACTTTCTTACAAAATTCCTTTAGAAATGATGATAAAGAAATGTTTTACTATACTCTTAACCGCCAGCTTGAATTTAAGGATGAATCAACAATAATTCCCCGGTTCCTAAGGAGAGATGATCTTGGATTAATCTAAGCTTTCCTCATGTAACCTGAGCTCCCCCAAGTGGACAAAATAAGTCTTATATACCCTCGTTGGAAATGCCGTTAAATGTATAAATATCCTGACCAATAATGTGACAATTGTTTCCTGTTACCAAATGCTTAACTTAGAACAGTACAACCGTTTGACCATTGAGGTTCGATTGTGGAAAATATTTGATTATAATACGCGCAAATAGATTTCTTTTCTTTTAGACATTAAGTTTAGAAAGGCAGTCCCTCGGGAAACCTGAAACGCCCTCTGGGGAACCACGCCCCAGGCAACAAAAGAGCGACACGCAACGTCGTTCACTCTACTCTCTTCTCTCTCTCCCTCTCGGCTATCTGCCCTCTGGACGCTTCGGCACGCGTCCGGCGTGCCTTGCCAGGCAACGGCCTAAGAGTTCGGCCAGCCGTTTGTTCGTTTGAAGCTACACACGCGAAGTGCCGCGACATCGATCTGCCACTCAGTTTGTTTTATTTTCTTTCTTTCTTTTGTTTTGTTAAAGTTATCAGTCCGTTACTGGACTAATTCAGGAACGACCAAGTTCCATTTTTAAGCTTTTTCGTCGAGCCAACTTCACCGAGGTCAGACCAAGCCATGTGGTCTCGCCAGCGGCAACGAAGGAAACCTGAAAACAGCCGAATTGCCAGATGGAGGACGGCGTTTTCTTCAG